TAGTACATCTGTACAGCACTGCTGGGCAGAGAGATAGACTCTCAATTGCCGTCTTTCAGCACTTAATCAGTGGGACTGTGAATAGTTTCAACCAGTGAGAACAGATGTAGAAGTGTGACCCGTCTTGTGGCAGAGAAGTCTGACAGCAAATGCTCTCGTTTACCTCACTACAGCAGCGTTAGAAGTGAAATCTCCTCAGAGGTGAAAGTTGTCAGTACCAAAGAGTTTTGCGTTGCTGCTGCTTACTTCAAAAGTATTGTGAGACTGGTTGGATTTTTAAAAAATGTCGGCTATGCTATATAGCTCGTTTTCAGAAATAAACTCTCCTCAGGACAAATAATGGAGTTTTCTTCTAAAAAAACACCATTTGTTAAGAAAAAACAAACAAACAAACAAAACAAAAGTCCACATGAAATGGAACAGATTCACAAAGGACGAATAAAAAGCTGATACTGTTGCATATATTGCTCTTTTATAGGGCCTTCCTGGCAAAGATGGACCCACGGGCCCACAAGGACCTCCTGGCCCAATGGTGAGTATTGCCCTTGGAATTCATTACTGTAAAAGTCAGGAAGATTTTGGGAGATTGTAGGTCACTGCTATCTAGGCTTCAGTGGATAGACCAAGGCCAAAGGTTCTCCTTGGAAGTTAAAATTCTCATGACGCACAGGTTTGGCAAAGAGCTGCTTGTCCAGTGTCATTTCTTTCCACTCTTACTTAGCTCAAGAAAAAATGTCTCCCATGGGAAAGGAAGACAGTTATTCCATCAATAGATTGGTAGCTTGTTCTTAGTAAAGTAACTGCACTATTTAAAGGAAATTTGAGCTCCTAACATTTGAAATTACTTTCTTTTTGTAAGAAATTCCAACTAGGCTTGTGAGCTGAAGTGAGCTGCCAATTTTTGCTTGGTCTGGAGGCTGGAGCTGAGTGCAGGTATTCATACTCCCATAGAGTAATCAAGATAGACAGCAGAGGCCGCAATCAGCCTTCAAAGCAAGACATATGTTGCCTCCAGAACCAGTGTCATCCTTCTCAGCTAGGGCAGTTTGGCAAGGTTAATGTCCTCTTGATAGATCTAAATTAGGTGAAACTGGTGATGGTGTTGAGTATTCTCCAAGCAATCCTGCTCTTTTTAAAACCAATGTTCTGGGTCATCCACCTTGAACATGATAGTAACGTCCCAGTATTTAGTTTTGCAGTTCAGCAATCAGCACGTGTTTCAGAAAGTGAGCAACACAAATTCTTCTTTTCTCAAGTGCTTTTCTCAGAGCTGTGCTTTCGGTGGTTTTTTTCTTGCAACTCGTACCTTTTTCCCAGCATCTCTGGTCTTTGACTGGCAGAATTACCTCTGTACTGTCTGTCTTGTGCATTGGGTGTTCATTGTCATCACTACTGATTTTCTTTCTCTTTTTCCACGTAGGGCATACCTGGTGCTCCAGGTGTTCCAGGTGTTACTGGAAGCCAAGGGCCACAAGGTGATGTTGGAGCTCCTGTGAGTAACATTAATTGCTATTGCTATATTTGCTGCTTTGGATTAATCGATTTCTGATCCTGGCTTCACTGTTTTACAGAACTCCAAAATATTTACAGCTTATGTAAATCTTATGTAAAGCTTATCTGTTTGCAGTTAGTGGTTAAGCAAAACATCATATTGGTCTTTCTTTGTTCATTCTTCATAATTAAATTTATTTGTTGATCTTACATACAGTATTTGGAATATAGGGATTAGAGAGTCAAAACACAAGATTAAAACTTGGAAGTTAAAAACATAATAGTATGTGACTTTATAGTCTATGTGTAATTCTTTCTCCTTTTTTTTCCTTTGTACTTCAGGCAACTCTTAAGAAATTAAAGTATGCCATTTATTAACCTGAATATCTTGAAAATATTATTCTGATTTTCCAACTGTGAAAATATTGCGTGAATAAAAACAGACTTTCCTTATTACTCTGGGTTTGCATCAGGGCAACTGATTAATGATCAGGACTTCTTCTAGAATGTTACTATAAATTTGGCTATCAGTTTCATTGAGTGGAAAATTACACCCTCTATACTGAAAATAAGTATTAGGAACCTCTAATCATAAGTTTGTCTTTCAGGTACTGTTTTCTTTATTATGAGCAAAAAAACAGTTTAACTAGAAGAAAGGAATGCAACTATAAAATGAGTTTGTAAATTCTGTAGAAGAGAAGAAGATTTACAGTGGACCTCTTTTTCTCTGTAACAGTTCAGATAGTATTGTGTATTTACTTTTTAACATTTGACCGCTTGGTTAATTATAAAGCCTTCTCAATTTTTTTTCCAGTGAATGTTCTGTTTAATTTTTAAAGGCATCAGAGTGTGACAGTGTGTACTTCTGACTTGATTTGTAGAATAGATTTTTTTTTTTTTTCAAAATCCAGTTTGTTTGGGAGATTTAGTCCAATGCAAGCATTTTTATTTGGTTAAGTGGAAATGAAATGACTGATAATATATAAATAAAGATAACCTAATGCCCAGTTCTGCATAGTTTCTAAGTGTAATAATGAAATCTACTAAAGAGGTTAGGTGAGCTATGGAACTTATTACTAACAATGTATAACATGTTGACTATTCAGTTCCTGTCCAAACACATGTTCCAGATATTGAACTAGATTTCCTAGAGTGTAGATATTCCTGTGAGTCATGTAAGACCTCTGCTGTGAATGCTTAGACTCTAGTAGTTCTGAAAAAACAGCTATGTGGGTAAAAAATTATTGAGTTTCAATAACTGTCTTTCCCAATAAAAAAAAAAAAAGAAGCCTAGAAATAATCTTGCACTCTTTGTAGGTGTTTCTTGTTTCCCAGGATAGAATAAGATGTGCTTTAACCATGCATCAGTCAGCTGGTTACCTCTTCATGCAGACCCTTCCTCGCTTCAGGAGTTTCTGAGATTATGTCTAGCCTACCCCAAAAACCTCCACTGGTGAAGCTGTAACTGCCCTAGACAACTTGATCCTTACCATTACATTATTTTTTATGTCATACTTAATCTTCTGTGCAGTTTAATCCCATTTGCTGACTCTGTTCATAGTGGATGCAGAGTCTCAGAGCAGCAAATGCTACAAATTTCAGACTGATATTTTGTCTCCCATCAGCCTTCTCTTCCTTATACTCAGTGATGATTATACCCATTGCAGCCATGTGAAATGCATCATCTGGTGGCCTGCCCTTGCTGACATTTTAAACAAGAGAATTTAGTATGTGACAAACCCATGAGAAAGTAATTATTGCTTTGTAATTGTCAAAGGTGAATATTTTGTTGAGTACTGAAACAGAAAACATATTTGTTATTGTCACATAGCCTCCTGAAACTATGTTCCCTCCTTGACTTTTCTCCTTTCCTTGTGATGCTGCCAGGGAGATGACATTTAGGTGTTAAAAAATTTTGAGCGAGAACAAAATAAGAATTAATTTTGTATTGAATCTTTTCATAGGGTCCTCCTGGAGCTAAGGGGGAAAGGGGTGAGCGGGTAAGTCTATGTTCACATTAGCCACCATTTTTTTCCTGTCTGGCCTTCTGTCTCATAAAAAGCTTTCTCTGACAATTTATGTTTCCCTATGTTTACAAACACAATAGTTTTCTCTGTGCAATCAGGCAAACTTTCCTTCTTTTCCATACATTGTCTTATATACAGCTACAGTAATGTTTTGAAGGCAAGAAGTATGTGATATTAAGCATGTCTCCAAATCTCTTACTAGGGTTATCTTCTTGACCTCTGTTTGCTGGCTAAGAACAGTAATGGGAACCAGGGAAATCTCAAAACTTCTTTGGCTTTTTTTCATGTCTCTCAGGAATAATAAATGTCTTTCATTGCTCTAACCATTTTCAAGACAGAAATGATACAAAAAATTGTGTTGTGACACTGCTGCTGTTGTTATCCAGGGTGATCTCCAGTCCCAAGCAATGGTGCGTGCTGTTGCTCGGCAAGTGTGTGAACAACTCATCCAGGGTAAGTACCTCGATAGTTCATATGCTTCTATCTCTAGAATGCGTCTTTTCCTGCCACAATTACTTACAAATATGATACTTTTCAGAGCATCCAAGGGGATCTGTTCATTTTAGGCTAGACAGCAAGGATTTATGTTCTGGCTAGATTTATGTTCAAATGGATTTATATCTAATTAGAACTGACCAGCATCAGGCATCTTAAAAAAAAAGCCTAAATTGTCTCCAATCTATTGCAGTATATAGAAGCTGCTGCTGTAACAATTTTACATTTTTATAGACATAAAATACAAAAAAAAGGAAGCAAGGAAATAAAATTCTGCACAATGATTCTTCCCCTTTCTGTCTATTCCCTAAACTGCTGTTTCTCCACCAAGTGCACAACTTCATATTACCAAAGCACAACAGACTACAACCTTGAGGACCTGACAGTGCTCTGTTCAAACTTAGCTGAAGCAGATTCTCCACTGCGACTTGAAAATGGGGACATTTTTTTTCCTGACAGGTCATATGGCGAGGTACAACTCAATTCTGAACCAGATTCCAAGCCAGGCTGTCTCAACACGAACCATTGCAGGACCTCCTGGTGAGCCAGGTCGGCCAGGGGCTCCAGGGCCACAGGGTGAACAAGGATCACCAGGCATGCAAGGGTTTCCAGGAAGTCCGGGTCAACCAGGGAGACCAGGAGAACGAGGTAGGCTTCATACTTCATATACAAAAAGATATACCTCCCTTTCCTGATATATTCTGATGGCTTTTGTCTCCTCTCTAAATGTGAGAACAACAGTTTTCTCACTAGTTGGTTGGTGAGCTCAGCACAGACCATAATGAAATCTCTGGAGACTCTCAGTCATGAAGGCTTTGCCAGTTGTGATTTGACAGGATCAGACAGAAGTTAAATGCCTAAGCTGCTGAAGATTGGTGGCATCTAATTGGGCACATCACATCACATCATACTTTCATCTTAGTAGGACTCTGAAGTAAACTGGAGCTGTAAATGTATAACCTTTTGGAAAACGCAGCTGCAAAACTGATAGATTCATGTTGGGGAAAGACTGAGATTTGCTGCTAAACTTGAAATGTGCTACTCTCAAGATTTCTATGTTGTGATAGTCTGAAAGGAGCAAGGTTGATAGGAGGGGTGGGAAAAAAAAAACTATTTGTGAGGGGTTAAGTGGCTCAAGGAGGGGAAATGGTGAGGTCAGAGGGAAGTAATACAGGTAACTTCGCTTACAGTAATTCTTCTCTGTGTTGTTATGTGTATGGTAGATCCCCTTCTCCTTTCCTTCTCCAGCATTGTCTAATAAAGAAACAAGCTCCATGTTCTGATTTACTCTGTCTCTGTGCAACCCTGGCAATCTTTGATGTACCAGAGTAGCACTAACAGAGGTAATGCTGAGTGGATCTATGATTATGAAAATGCTTTGAAGACCACCACACAAGGAAGTGACCAAAAATCCAAGAGAAAATTTGTGATATTCAAGAGCAACAAATTGGTGTTATTTTTTAAAAAATATGACAAGTGGGATTTTAAAAATTAATTGCTATGAAGGCTGTTTAGTTCAGGAGCTCAGTAGTTCCAGTTCACAGTAGCTATGATAACCAGAGTTAAAGCATTGTTTTGAAAAGAATCTTTGAGTGAACTTGTGAGTCTGTGGGTCCTTTCTTCCCCCCAAAACCGTAATTCTAATTACCTGCTTGAAAAAAGAGGCAAGGTTTATGGTGCTAGCTTCTCAGTCATGCTGCTGCGTGCTCCAGCTGAGCAAAGACCAGACACTGTCCAGAAAAAAAGAAATGAGGGGGTGGAAGACAAGTAGATAAGAAATTTGGAAGAAACAGCAAGTGAGGAACTGGCTTTAAAAGTGGTGACCTGGAGAAACTCAATGCAGACTTCAGGGTAGTTGTTTAAAATGCTAGTGTATTTTAAATGGCTTCTCAGGCAGGGAATGTTTAAGTACACAGAATATTTTGCTGGGGCTTCAGGAGTGAAGGAACCAAAATGCCAGGCTACAAAAAAGGAAATCAGCATTTAGCATGTATTTCCCCTTGTATTTGTTGTGCTGAGGCCCAGACCCACATGTTGTTCTGCTGTGAAATCACAGAGTGAGTGATTACAGCTAGTCATTTAAATGAAACATGATGTGGGTTAACCCACTGCTGGTGATACTAATATCTGGGAAACGGCATTGGCAATAGAATGAGTACAGAAAGAGTAAAAGCACATTAAAAAAGAATATTATTATTTTCCTGTCTGTACAGATAACTGATGTTAGAAGTGACTGATTTGGGCAGGTAGTGCTTGTGGGGAGTTTCATACTTGGTAGAGAGCAAGCCCTTATCAAGCATACTTCAAGAACCATAATCAGTCAGCCAGGGCTCTCTGCAGATTTTAATAAAATGCAATGCCAAATGTTGGGAGTGTTTTACAGTATTTGTAGCTTAAAATTGGATTGTTTTAAGAAAGAAGAATCCATGTGTAAACTTAAAGACAAAATAATTGGCTTTATTTGAGTGAAAATGGTTTTTAGGACATTCACATAACTAGACCCTTGCAGAGAACCTGGAAGGAAGAGGAAAGAGCCCATCCAGAACCTAGGAAAAATACAGAATAATTTATTAGCCCTTGAATATTTAATTTCTTCAGAAGCAACTGAAATTTTAGATTGATAGTGTGCCCGGTGTAGTAGCAGTTTATTTAACAGAAAGATACATTTTGAGTTGTACAGACCCTTGGGATATTTCAGAATCCATTTCTAGGGAATTGCTCTAAGCTAACCCCAAAGGAGAGCGTGAAAAGTAAAAATTATTTTTACCAGCTTCATGGCTGTAGAGATTGAATGGAAGTTTCTTCTGTGTTCCCAGTTCTCACTTGGTTCCTAACTACATGTCATACAGTGGAGTAGCAGACTAAAATTCCTCTGCTTCTGGATGGAAGGGTTTCTAGTTTCCAGTGAATACAGAGAGGGGAGTAAATAGACCCAGCCCCCATCCCTTGCTGTGTTCTGAAGCATCATTTGTATTTAACTTGTTCAGCAAGTCACAATGTATGGTGCTGTCCTGAAGATCTTCAGCCAGCCACTTGGAAGTCTTTATGAACAATGTATTTCTTTTCACTGATGTCATCAGCATTTTGGTTGTATATGAAGTCAATTTAACGTTCAAAACCAGTGCCAGATTAGCAACTGTCAGCCTCCACCTTTAAGTACAGAAAATACACTGCAACAGTGACAGCAGTGTCCATAGAGTGTACTAAAAAGAAATAGATGTTAAAAGGGGAAAAAGACCAGTTTATTTAGTAGAGTGTTGCTTTTTTTTCCCTCAGAGTTCAAAATGCTGGGATTGCTGCAAGAACCTGTTACTGGCTCTGAGCTGAATGGCAAGGTGCTGGTAGAGCGGGAAGAGAAAAGGTGGGGGGAGGCTAGACATTTCCTCCTACTCACCTCTCTTGCCCACCACCCATTCAATCCCAGCCTGTGAGGAGGGGGAACTTCTGAAAGCAGCGTGTGGGACTGGTTAGACATCATGCACCAAAGAGAGCTTTACTGGGAAATGTCAGCAGTGAGAGATCTTGACATCAGTGAACTTCCCTGCTGACTTGCCTGGCCAATAGCTTCTTTTCCCTTGTTTACCTTGTCACTCTGCCAAGCCTTAATCAGATGTTTTGGAAGGAGGCTTGGACTGAGGCATTGTCCTGGAGTTTTGCTAGAAACCTCCACTTGAACTTCTAGGTCCAGCGTGTCCCATTCCTGGGTGTATTCTCTCACTAGTAACACACTGAGCTGGTCCTTCCAAGAAGGACCACCTCAGTGAGAAAGGATAAATCATTCTCTTGACAGAGTCAGTTCTCAGTGTCTCTGGCCAGCTGAGATCTAGTTTTCCCAGTGTAGACATATGTGAATGGATTAGGGTCACACTACGACATTTGTTATTTAGTTTCTCCAGTCGATTACTGTTTTAGCCATACACTGTTGGTTCTTATCTGTTGTTTTTTTCTAATAACGTGAAAAGAAACATCTCTGGCAATCTCAATATTTGTTAGCAATATTCACATTGTATTGATGCCCCAACAGGCCATTTGAATTGGACCAGTGATTTAAAGATTAAGGCAGGCACATTGTGTTATCAGTCCCCTATAGTGCATAATCCCAGATAAATTACTAGAATTTTACTCTCTTACCTATTTGCATAAATATAGGAGTTTGGAAAAAAGCAAACCCAAACACTGATTTATTGACAGCACTCATCTCTGTTTTTACTTTAACTAGTGCACAGCACTGGTTTCTATTTTTATTTCAGCTAGTTCGAACATCTTTTGTTTTGATTTTATGTTTATGAACTGGGACTTTAACTAGTGTCTGGCTTCTGAGCACTCAAGAAGTAGTTGGACTCCTGCAAACTAATATAAAATGCTAAGATTCAGTGTGGGGTTTTTTTTTTTTCCCAGTTATTTTTATAACACATGGGTGGTTTTCTCAACTTTGAGGAAAATGTAAAAGCCATAGTAAAAATTATGCTGAGGCACCACTAGCTTTCAGCTGCTGTGAAAATGCAGTTGTTTTACTGCTGGGTGGATATGATGTGTCCTGAAGTGAGGCACAACACTGAGGGCTGCACATGCCATCCCACTAGGATTAAAATATAATAAATACCTGAGCTGCCACTGCTGGGAAAGTCACTGTTCTCAAGTACAGCTTCATCCGTATTTGCTTTCTGGCTTCATATGAAAGAGTTAGTTAAACATGTGTTATCAAAAGACACGTGTTTACAGCTCTGATGGTAAAGTTCCAAAGGAATTAAATGGAACTTTTGCCAGTTGAGTCAATTAAATATTTTAATTTCCAATTTTAGCTTCATCTGGATAAAAAAAAATCATGCTGTGTTATTATAAATTATGGTTACAGCTGAACATCTTTGAAAGAGGGCTTTTTTGGTAGCAGTTTAGTTTTTCTTAATTGCGATATGCAGCTCTCCTCAATGGACAGTGTTCTCGTAAAGACAAAAATAGACAAGTAATATCTAAGATTTCCTTTTGTGCAGAAACCATGGAAATTTAATTTTCTTTGACAGAGAACACGTTTATGATCTTGGTTTTGTTTTTAATAACTGATGCTATCAGAGGTATCTTTAGCAGTGCATTGGAAATAATTGATTTCAGTTGCCTGTGATCTCTGTGGGGCTGAACCCGAGCCATTGCTCGTTTTGGATGGGGACAAGACATAAAAAAGTGGTTAGCTGAAGGGGGAGAAGCAGTTTGATGGTATTGCTGAAGTATGTCCAGAGCACAAATATGAAAACAGTTCCTAGAATTGAAGCCACTCTAACTCAAATGACAAATTTTGATACACACTTTTATCCCTGAGAGTGATGAACCATTGCAGTAACGTACATGGAGAGTGGTTGACTTTCTGTAAGCTGTGCACTAATGAAATGCACAGATGATCTTGACAGAAAGTGAAATGGGTGGATTTTGAATGTTCTGTCATTTATAGGAGGGAGCCATTAACTGTGACCACAAAGTCTGTGAATCTGTTAATTCACTCTTGTTTAACAGCTTTGGGGGAATGTCCCTTAGGGCAGCTGATGGAGTGCTCAGTTTTAACTCATGTGAGTTTTGCCTTAGGAGTAGAGTATTCTTGCGTCAGTGTTTATGTTCTCTTTTCCTTGGGTAAACTTGACTGAAAATTAGACTGAAAGAAACCTGAAGCAGACTTGTATCTTGGCCTTCAGTATGTTTGCTTTAGGAACTTGATATCCATGTGATTTCAAAGAAGGTTTGCTCGGTGCAAGAGCTTCGTAACTTGTTCCAGAATGAACATTTATTCTTAGCCTGAGTAGATTTGTTCCATATTTATAATTTCTTACTGCAGCTTGTTCTGTGAACATCATGTATGGATGTGTGTTCTTCCGTGTGTACAGAATAATAATTGAGTGCATGGAAGGCTGTGATTTGAAAACGTTGTGACAATTGTCTTTGAAGTCACCATGTAATGTTATTGTACAGTAGGATAAGCAACGGTCCTTGTTCTAAGCATCTGTGTAGGTTCCAGATGGTTATCATGGGCCACTCTTATGATCAAAGCAATCCACACATGCAGACTTTGCCTTTTACGAATGGCAAGTGTTTCCTGACAGGACATGTATGGTAAGAGACAACTCATCTGAGTTTACCTTGTTTCAAGGCCTGCAGAAGTAGCAGTGAATTGCAGCAGAAGTCTCTTCCTATGTTTGAAGCGATCCAGGGCTAAGCAAACTTTAGGTATCTGGAAGCTGCATTTGGAATGGAGGATAAGAGGTTTGCCTGAGAAGTTTGTCTTTAAAATGGGTAGAAATCAGTTGTTGGTCACAGATGATGTGTTTTTTCAGCAGGTTCCCCCAGGAATATAAATGTAGATGAGAGCATATATCTGCCCCCTAGGATGGCTTACTACATACACTATGCAGTGCAATCATCCATCAAAGGTTCTGGATGGCACTTCTGACTGAAACTGCAATCTCTGCTAATTAATGCTGGATTGCAAACAGGAGCTTCACACTGGACTTGGAAAACAGGCTCTGAGAGCAGGAATCCCATGTCTTACATTGCTAAGAATCTCCGATGTAAAGATGTTAGCAAATTTCAAGATGCCTGAGTAATTTAAACACTTAAGACCCATGGGCCTTCAGTGAGATTTAGGAGCTAGGGCTACCAAAGGCTATGGATATAAAATTCCTGAAACTTACCTTTTGGACACTTTATAATCTGAAAGTGAACAAGACCAATAGGCACCTCGTACATCCACGGGGTAAGGCAGGTGTACCACAGTATGTTAGTACTCAGCAGGGAGACGCCCATTTGCTCTGCTGCTGTCTTGAGATCACCAAAGGGGTTCTATTAACAGTGCTGAGCCCTTCCTTAGCAACAGGTTGTTATTAGCTCAAGGTGACACCTTCAGCAACCTGGTCACATTGCTTTCAGCAATCTTGTAGTGCCAGAGGTTGGTCTTTATCTACCTGCAAAAAGCTGGTAGGAACTAATTTAGTTGTAGGAGAAAGCTGTGGTGTACAAAGCAGATAGAAAATAGGAAGTTTAGATGTGAAGGAAGCTTGATAGAAGAGGTGACATTGCTAGTTCCTCTACAGCTTTTTTCCAGTGGCTAAATGTTTGGAGCATAATTTCAGGAAATTTGAAGCTGCATTCCTTTCCTACCTACTAGCACCACTGGGAGAAGGTCTTGTGGTCCAGTGTGATGAATGTTTTGGATGTTAGATTTTGGAATAAGGTATGAAACAAGGCCTCCCTCTCCCTGACAAGTTTCTGAGCACTTAGGCTGGAGAGCCATTCATAACATTTTTGGCCTAATGCATCCTGAGGTGGTAGAACCATTGAGTGGGGGAGAACATCCAGACATGTCTCCAGGCCATACCAGCAGGATTGTCTACACGTGAACATCCAAGATTTCTGGATTTCAGCTATATGCTGTCATCTAAAAATCTGCAGAGCCTGTGTGTGGGATGGGTCTCAGCACAGGAGAGATGAGTCTCAGCATGGCAGAGCCACTTTGTGCTGCTGTCTGCACTGTGGGGTGAGCTCTGAAATTCTCCAGGGGGCTCAAAGACACTGGGAAATGGAAGGGCACTAGAGAAGGGGAGAGTGTTCCTGCACTGGTCGAAGAAACGTTTGGTGACAGTTCTAATGTGCTGACATAGACAGGGAGTAACGTTGGACACAGAAGAAACCCATGCAGCATTGTAGTCATCAAATGACTAAATGGTCAGGACAGTCAAACACAAAGATTTCCCTTTCAGTAGTAATGGGATAAATACTCCCTTGGATAACTGGTCACCAAAGGCATGGTTTTTTAAATTCAACAACAAAATTGTGCAACCAAAGGAAATAAAAGGTACAAAATGGAAACAGGAAGTACTTAAACTGTGCCAGGACAGTGGCAAGAAGCCTCGTAGAGGTGAGACAGAGAGCTCATCGTGCTTTGGTTAAAAACGATGTGCTCAGCGTGGAGTTACTCGTTGCAGCGGTGTGGCATGTGATTGGGCTACGTGATAGATTGCCCTGGAAGCCACCTGTTATGTAGAAGACCTAGAACTCCTCAGCAGTTACCACATCCCTGTAATTCAGTAGACTCTTGCTTTGTATACTCGATGTAATCAATTCTTTGTCAGTGATGGGTTTTAATTACAATTTTTTTTTCACAGTAAGGAGTTCATTCTTACTTACTTGCTTCCATCAGAAATTAGCTTAGGAAGGAGAAAAAAAAAATCTTCTGTGGCTCCTTGCAAAAATGTGGTGTCTTCCAGATGTTTTTCCCTAAGAGATATTAGTTACCTGAGCAGAAGGGAAGGAAGGAGGTCCATCAGTTGAAACTGTAGATACTGCCCCACCAAGGGTAGCAGCTGTTTTCTTTCTACTCTGTGTTTCTGAAGGTGCTCTCTGTTGGCTTTGACTCAGAAAGTGTGGAAGCTCTGAAGCACTGAGAGCAATTACCAGTGCTGGGAGGTCTGGAAAATGGGGGGAAAGTCCCACAAACCAGCATGGATTTTGTGTCTTTGAACCATCCAAATCAAACACAGACTTTATGAGAGTTTCCAAGTCTCCAGTGGAAACTCAGGCTCTGGAATTTGTAGTTTTGACACCTACTTTAATTTGACACTGCTCATTGTGATCGCTGCATGTCGAAAGTGTTTTTATGGGATGCCGTAGTGGTGGTGCAGGAGATGGAAAGCTGGAAGAAGGCAGTGCCTTCTCTGGATTACTGGATCTGTGATCTCCATGGATTAGACACAACAATAGCAATTCAAGGCCATGAGCAAGTGTGGAAACACAACTCAATGGCTGTGCTTGTTGGAACATCAGCGTTTTGTGGCTGGGGACCTCTTAGATTTGGCTTTGTTTGGGGGGGTCAGATTTTGACTGTGCTGAAACTCCTTTCTTGCATTTTAGCAAGACTCTGCAGTAACCCACCAGAACTCTCTCTGTTTATGCATAGAACCATCTTGTGCTGATCCTCTGTTTGGTGGGTGAATGTTTGAAGGAAAATTGGCTGTTGCACTAAAAATTTGACTTTTCTGGGCCACAAGGTAATTTATAGACAGCTTTGTGAGGCTCTGAGGACTCTTCTGACTTACAATAGTTGTACCTTGGTATAGTCCAGAGGCAGCTTTCCAGGGAGTGCAGCCTGGAAACTGGCCGATGCCTCTGCATACCACCTCGATGAAACCACCGTGGCAGCCGGAACG